TGTGGGTGTGGGTGGGTGTGGGTGTGTGGATGTAGGTGTGGGGGTGTGGGTGGGGGTGTGGGTGTGTGGTGTGAGTGTGGGTGTGGGTGTGGGTATGGGTGTGGGTATGGGTGGGTGGTGTTGGTGGTGTGAGTGTGGGTGTTGGGGTGGGTGGGTGTGGAGATGGGGTGTGGGTGTGGAATAAATTAAAGAGATGACCTACACCCACACCGACACCGGCACCTACACCCACACCCAGACCCAGACCCACACCCACACCCACACGCCACACCCTTTTCATGGAAATACATGCATTTCCATCATAGAAAAGGTGATATCCTGTTTCCCGTTGTGAAAGTGAGCGTAGATGTTCGCTTTTACTTCACACACCCATACCTGCATCCACTCAAATCCACACTCACATCACGAACACAACACCTGCCAAAGTGTCCTGACAATCCGCAGGACGAACTGAGTATTTGCCGAGATTTTGATTATGTACGAGTCAGGATGTTCGGGATTTTTCCCGAATGATTCATTTTTTCTAGCAGTGTCACTACAGTCCGCGGGTAGATTCTGCACCCCGACCCCCAACGACAGGCGATTCCGTCCATAAGTTCTTTTTTTTCTTATATAGGCTTTATAAATAAATGAAAAAGCACAAAATATTGCACTTAGCTAGTCGAAAACGAAAATGAATTTCGTAAAATTTTGACCCCTAGTGACCGGATGCTGCCATTTGGCAACATCAAGCCATTCGGTGAAGAAGAACTTTTTGGTTCCGACCAACATACTTTTGTTATCGCCAGGATGTATTAATACAAAGAGAACAAATTCTCTCCAATTTAACGATATTTATTCCGATTTTGCGTCGAAGAATAATTAAAAATCGCACTCTTTTTCCTGCTCAAGATATGCAATGTGCAATGTGACACTGTTTCACATTGGCGAAGAGAAACAAAAATATTGCGAACTATATTTATCTATTTTTTGCAAATCGGGATGCTGCCTATGGATCATATAGTGCTATTGAATTTTTTTATCTAGCATAGAAAAATTAACTTACTATTGACATATATATCCCGCTGAAAGAAGAATAGTGTAGTCATTTGTTGTTTCTCTTCTTTTTCATCCACGAACGATAATAAACAAAACAAATCGCAGTTGATAAAATCAGCGTTTGATACTGTGCTAATAATGAAGGGAAAAAGTACAGATGTATATCTGTATATATATCAACGGATTCCTCTTATTATTGTTATCATATTCCACACACAAATACATTACTTCAACGATGCGTTTTCTCTCTTTGCTCCTGGTTCTCGTGCTCCTCGGTGTTGGCGCTCAGGCATTGAAAAAGAGACTGTCGGAAGAACCGCATGCAGGTGAGTTCTTTCACGATTACAGAAGATGATAGAAATTAGATCTTTCTAGGTCATTGTCCGCTTCCAGGCAGAATATGCATGCTCGTTTGTTCGCCTGAGACGGCCGTTAGGCTGTGTGCAAAGGACTCGAAATGCTGCAAGAGAGACAGTCAATGCGCTTCGGACGAAAAATGCTGTCCACCCCCCTGTGGATGCAACAATCGATGTACGAAGACCCAAGAAGAGCCGGGTTTGCGCCATCAGTCTTAGATAGTATACCATCATTTTTTTTCAATTTCGAATGATTTGTTGCGTAACAACACATAAATAAAATGAATTCTAATGACAGAATTTCAATTGAACTTCTCGAAATAAATAGATCTTATCGAGCAAGTACTTGCTGAAGATTTTGGAGAAATTTCGCAAGCTAAGTAGATTTTGCTTTAAGGATCCTCACTTGACATGCGTTTACACTTGTATTTCTTCACATACAGAGTTTGTGTCTAAAAGATTATTGAAAGAAAACGAAGCTTTAATGACCTGGGTTTTACTTTTTTTGAAAGTAATATGATGCGATCGTCAAAGATGAATAATGCACCAAACCATTTACCGTTATGTATTAATCAATAGTCGAAAACGATCTATGAGTCTTCCAATGTTTTTCTAGATACTAAGGTGCCGGCAATGCGAATTGCAAGTAAGACTTTTTTTGCCTTTTTTATTACAGCATTTCGTAAAATGTGAGTTGCTGATCAAGAAAAACCACTTTTTATAGCAAACAAATACCTTGTTCAGGTCAAAAAATACGAAAAACTTGAAAGATATCCTTTTTTCAACAGCACAATTTTTTCAAAAATGTGCAAAAATTTCAACTTCATCCTTTTCTCTAGCTTCTGAAAGTATTTTTTTTCAGATTCAGCATAAAAAAAACTGAGTATAGATAAGTTGTTAAATCAACTCTAACTCAGAAATTCTTTTGATGGTGGCGCTTCGAATCACGCCGAGGGCAGTACGTATAAGTCGATTTTGTAAACCTATCTAGTTTTTCTACATAAGCGATAAAGGCAAATTTTTTATCTCATTCGATTCATCATGTCATCAGTCACAAAAGTATATATCGGTTTTTTTCTCTTCTTTCCCGTGTTGAGAAAAATTGATTTTACTGGTATCATGACCATTTTAAGTGGTATTCATGGATTTCCGTATTTATATAAGGCTTTTTGTCAAAACCTAAATCCAGATTCTGAATCAGCATAAAAAAATGAGTCAAATAAAGTATCTTTCAATTTAACTTGAGAACTTTCTTTTTTCTCATTTTTTCAGGTATGTTTGGAGGACTCAAATTTTTGTATATATGTCAAAAATTGAAAGTTGTCAAATTTACTGTTGCAAAACTAGATTTTTGTTGATTGTTAAAGTTTTGTTCATCGAAAAAGTGGAAGAGACATGCAGTAATGAATGAAAATATGATTTCACATGATGAATCTGTTTGCTATGTCACGTGTGAAATGATTAAAAGTATGCTATCATGCCCCACAGTATCGGCGCTGAAAACGAAAAGAAAGGTAGATAGAATTATCAAATCATTTCAAATGACGCAAGTGAAAAAACAATTGAACTTTTTCGTGCGTTACTGTACATAAACACTGTGCCATTATGCTAAAAGAAGAGCAATAAGAGATATTGATATCGATGAATACGATCATCGAGAATTTTTTTTTTTTCGTTAGTAAATCATACGCATACAGAATAATAGAAATTGAATTGAAGATTAGAAAATGAAAAGATTAGGAATGATCATGAAATAATAGAATGAATTGAAATCTGTCCACATCGCACAAGACAATGTTATGTCCTTCCAAAATGCGTCTCTATCATTCAAATACAAATGAGTCAAATGAAAAGTGTGTCAAACTGATTGATTTGCTTTTGGTTTGTAGCAGTGCAATTGGCTTTTTTAATGATTGACAGTTCTATCTCGTCAACAATGATCATCGCACCTCTCCAAGGTAGAGTTTGAAATTCTGTGAGCAATAAAGAATCTAGAGTATTTAGAACAATTTGACATCTAATCAATGAAGATACTATACGAAAAGTACTCTCATCATGAAATAAACCTATTCTTTTTGCAGAAAAACTACATCATCCAGATTTGCTTACTGCGGTAAAATCTCTACTGTCTTTTGGTTAGTATTACTTGAGAACAAGGTTATTCAAGCCATGAAACTTTCATCAATTGAAAAAGAGTTTCTATGGAGAAACGAAGCAAGATAAGTTCACCTGAATCATATGATCGTTCTCATTGTTCTTTTAAAACTGATCTAAAATATCCAGTCATCATTGCTCGCACTTCAATTCTAAGACCGGAAAATACATTAATTATAACGTCGTTTCATGTTTTTCAATGCATTTGATGGAAGTTTTACATAATGTAGCAAATTAACAGAAATCAAATGGGATGTAGTTATTAATCGCGTTAATAAAAACAGGAAAAGATATACTGTGATTCGAAAATCATTGACCGTCTATGATGCTTTGATAATCGAATCTATCGGAAAAAAGGCGATGAATATTTATTTCAATCACATTCGCTCGACTTAAATAGAGTTCGCGATATTCTAAAGACATTCCGAAAAGAGAAGAACATCTAATTTAATCGAGGGTGTGGGTGTGGGTTTTCTCTTCACTCATACCCACAGAAACACCCACACCCACACTCTGCAATGAATAGTTAGCACGCTTCATAGTGCTGAGCAGTAAGACGTAGTGCAGAGTTGGAACCGGATCGGCCGATTTGCCGGTTATCGATCCGGTCCGGTTGAACTTTTCAAACCGACGGATTTTCACCATTTTTTGCCGGTTTTTTTTATCGATTTTTTTATGGCATTAAAGCTCGTCTATTTTAGTCGTTTTTATCGATTTTCACTGCTTTAACAATTCTGAAACGTTAGTCTCAATCTTTCCAACAGATAAATTGCTCGTTACCATCAAAATCTCAGCTCTAAATATTGAGCAAACGCTTTCTTATCGTGCAATGAGGACTTTCGATCATGCTGAATGAATTTATTATGCTCATTCTCACGAAAAGTTAGCCTGCCATCAGAAGTTGAATTCGGTCTAAAATAAAGATTTTTCATCTCGAAACCTTAGCTCACTTTTCTGGACTACTTCTAACAGACTGTCAGAAACTCTCAAACGCTATTACTTTTCAATTCATGCTGTTATAACAGAAGCATCAGAAAAGACGCCGTTCTGTTGTGAAAGTTATGTTCACTACTAGTCTGATGCAATTGTGATTAACTAATACTGATCGTGTAGGATGTCTCGTTTCTTCACATTATTGATTGTTCGAAAATGCTGCATTGAGCGTTTAGAAGACTAGAATTTCGAACTTTCAGGAAAGTTAACGATAGGAATTTGAGCTCTGACTGTTATGTCGTAATAAGAGCAAGTGATAATTTCTTTATGTGAAAGAGGGCGTGATTTATGTTATTTTCTGTATTAAAAATTATTTACCCCCCTATTAGCGTTCAAACTTACAACGAGTGATAGACAGCAAATGTTCGAAATGTGCCCGTTTTCTTCTCTCTGTTTATTATATAAAAACAGCAGTATATATCTACGGACATGAAAACAACACAAAAATAGAAATAAATACAATGGGTAATCAAGGTTAAAAAAAGAAAAGAGAATAGAGAGCATCGAAGTATAAAAAATCTTGTAGTACATCATTTATTAAAAAGAAAAGAGTTCCAAAAAAACCTGGATGTCGTCATAATAAACCTTATTGTTTGTAGAAGTCTTAAAACAAAATTTTCGAATATACATAAAAAGAAAACTTGGAACATTCCTTTGTTCGACACATAAAAGAACCATGGAGTTTAGTTAAGCAGTAACGAACATATCTACATTCTTTTTTCATCCACCTTTGGAAGACTCTGTATAAACAAAAATAATGAAATCCAATCAATTAGATGAATATAACTTTAAATTTGATTGATTCTCGAATAATTTGCAAATAGTCGTGAAGGTTCCTTAAATCGTCTATTAATTGTTGATTTTGTTGAATATTTCCCATTATCTGTATTGTTATTTTCTTCAAGTAATGACATTCATTTATTAGTCTTACCCATTGACCAAAATATAAGAATTGATTGAGATTGTATTTATTAACAATCAAACGAATATAGCGAATATTAAACATATTTTGAATCAGATCAATGATCGTAGTAAAAAAACATGATTCATCATGTTGAAAATAGTCATACATTGAAGACAAGACTGAATGACTGACATCCAAAATAAAATATACGATGGTTACATTTTTCGTACATGATTCGTTTGAATTATGTATTAAAGAATGAGTACAAGAGATTTTTGCACAACGAATTTCAAATCTTTTAATTGAACTGAGGAGTTGATTTAAATTCTTACTAAATATATTGAAATTGATATTATCATTAAACCAGAAAGAAATACTCGTTAAATTTGGAAAATATGATTCACATTCGTTTATTTGTTCCATTCTTTCACAATCGACAAGGATAATTGAAATGACGTTTGTGAAATTAAATAAAGAGGGTAAAAACGCTGAATGCGATCGAACTGAATTAAGACATAAAGAAACAATTTGTTTACAATCGATTGTTCGAAGAATCATATTAATAAATCTATTAGAAGAATAAGATAAATGTACTTTTGTTTTATATTTTCGTAATAAAAATAGAATCTTATCGGAAAATGCTTCGACTGCATCATTTAATGTAAGATATTTGGCTATTTCGAGAATAATATCCCAACAAAGACCAGTCTTAGTCATGAAGTTCAATGACTAGAATAATAAATTCATTTTTTTTTATAAGAAAATAAATCTAAACAACTTACTAAAAGTTGTTCATTATGATCGAATTCTTCCTTAAAGATGATTAATTCTCTTAAGAATGCTTCACGAGTTAATTTTTCTTGAGTTTGTATTAATATATCATCTTTCAGTAATAATTTAAATTCATATTCAGATATTAATGGCCAACCTTTTTCTCCTGCCGATCGTCGCATCACACCAAATACTATTGGACATTGTATAACTGACATAATATCTAACAATTGAGTAGCAAAAATTTCTTGCCAAATCTCTATTAATCTATTTAATAAAATAGAAAATATTTCATTATAAATGGATGTTTTCCATTTAATGGAACTTTGAGAAAATAATTAATATTATATTTTATATTCTAACCTACATATTCGAATGTAAATTGAAAATATTTGATGTACATTTGTGTTTATTATGAAAATGAAAATAAAATGATGAACTCGATAGATTCTGTTGAGTTCAAAGTTTTGAGACTCGAACTCGGACTCAGTTGATTAAAAGTTGTTTTGGGATGCGATCTCGAAAATGTACTGTAGCAAGACCGAAAAGAAGAAATAATATACAATGTCATTTTTCCCGTTTTGCAATTGTTCATGAGAAACTATCGAAAAATTTCATTACATTTATAAAGCTATTATAATATTGTTCACTACGATTATCTATGCACGACATTGAATATCGATTCTTTTGGAGATCTACGAGATAAACGAGAGTTTTGGTTCTTGTGGCTGAGCTTACTTATATATGATGAAAACGACTTTCTTCGTCTTGAGGAAATTTTATGAAGAACAGGTTTTGATGATTAATTTGTACTCGACAATTAAAATGACTATTGGGACAAATACACTTATCGAATTCTCCTTTCATGTATTGACTTAATTGACAAAATTGCAAAAAGGTTTATTTTTTTTTAAATGAAATATAAGAAACGCATCAAAGACATAGTTAAATACTTAAAAGTCACCAGATCTCCCTTCAGGATCGTCCATATCTTCGATTTCATCTTTGGTCTTGTTGATGTCGCATAGGAGTGCGAGGAACTGGGATGAGATGCTCGATGCCCTCATTTTCAGGCGTCGGAAGGTTGATCTCATTCAGTTGAAGTCCATTTACTCCCTAACTCCGGTGACCCAGGATAGACACGAATGACATCATCGATGAATTGCTGAAGTTGAGCCTCAAGAGTCTTGTACTTCTTTATATAGTGATTGAAGTATAAATGCATGGCCATGCATTGATAGATAAGCTTATGAGACCGACGGGACTTAACGAAACTCTTGAGATGCTTGTTGATGTGGTTCTTGTCAACAAACTCCCCTTTTGAATAGTTAACGAGAGTGTGTTGGGTTGAAGCCGAGAAGAGTGTTTTAACTTTCTTATATTGTTTAGCTTGATCAGTGCAGATGCGCTTAATTTCAGGATGGACGTACTTCGAGAGAAGTGATCATCGATCACGCTTAGACTTGCCATTGGTTCGAAAGTACATAGATCCTTTCTTTAGTTTTGCGACAATAGATGCAAACAAGACAGTGGTGTGGGAATCAGTGTAGCGACCTCTGTTGTATTTGCGACGCGTGAGAAAGGTTTCGTAGCACTCAATAGTAAGATCAGAACCTCCTTCAACGTGAGAGGCAATCACTTCACAAATTTCACGACAGAATGAATAATGATCGGACACTGTGGTACTGCTAATCGTGCGTTCAGCGTCCCAGTTCTGAAGATGCACGAGAAGTTGATTAACAGGTATCTTCCAGACAAATGCGACCATGACAGCCAAACAGTAGTGCATTGCGACATCTTCTCTTCTATATTTTTCCTTTCGACCTTTCTACCACCAATCTTCCTCTCGATATTTAATGAAGTTTTTAAATTCATAGATGATAGTCTCTCCCAGAGTACACTTTCAATATTTCTCAAGCAATCTTGACAATGATCTTATTAGAATCAAGTTATAATTATTCTTTTTTTCTTTGCCTCGACCCTAGCCCTCAAGGATTTATTAATCGTTTACCTATTTCTATTCGATTGAAACGTAATATCCCATGGCCAAGTAATATAGTTTTCAAGTAAATATTCAATAATAATTTCTGAGCAGAATATATTCGAACAAAACGTATTGGTAAACATGCTCTTATCATTATGTATATAGATAAGCACTGGACGATGCTAAAAACAAACAGATTTTCATATTTTGTATAATGATAGAAGCAAAAATGAACGAACTTCTTTAATGATTCTTGAACTAAAAGCTTCTTGACATGCATTTTGAAGAGATCCGACGAAAAATATTGGACACGAATTGTAACGTCTTATAAAACATGAATAAAAAGATTCAATAGCAACAACTTTATTTTGACATTTGTCAGGAACTTTAATAAATAAAATAATGTTTTTCAAAAAGCAAAGAACAATAACTTACAAGGACTATAGTCGAAGAATTTGTGATCATAATCAAAAGATTCTTCATCATCATCCTATACCAAAAAAACCAACGAATACAAACTATTTTAAAAAGCTTCAGTCTCGATTTGGTCAATTGAAAAATTTCTACGTACCATATGATTGATGATTTGTTTAATATAAAATAAAAGAAATTCGTGAAAAATAAAAACACACACTTCTGCAATTAATTTGGAGAAAAAAAAATACTGTAGATTTTCTTTGTGTCGTCGTCGACTGCTGCAAATTTGTGATGTGTTTTGAAATTTTTTGAAGTTTTGAAAGGTAAGAATAGAGAAAATGATGGTACAAAAAGATTATTACTAACAAACCAGACGAGAACGTCCTGATAAGCTAATTCTGAGTGTCGAAAATTCTCAAAAATCAAGAGTCTATTTTCGTGTCCTACTGGTCAACTAATAGATAAGTGTTTATTATTGATTCGATATTGAATGACTGTGTCCATTCCATGTTTCTTCCTTTGTATCGTGACCTCTTCACCGAGCATTGACCTTTAGTCTCTTTCTGTGTTTTTCAATATGACTACTTTTTCTTGTTTACGATCACGACAAGTTGTGATTGTGACCGTCAGCCACGAAAGCTTCATTTACTGTATTGGCGCAATCTGTAAACAAACAGTAACTTATACTAGTGATATACAATCCCATCGATTCATATCATTCAAGTTCTTATCTATATGACAAATAAAATAACCGAATATCGTAAAGTGATGGGAAAAAAATCGAATCATGTTCCTTGGAAACTGAGAAATAACATTATAATTATATTAGTTCAATTATTTGTTCTTAATAGTAGATCATTACAGTAAGATTTTATTTCTAAAAAAATATTCTTCATTCAGTTTGCTACAAATTGATTTTCTCATAGAAATAAAAACGAGTAGTTTCGATGAGGTTAGGAAATTTCAGTGGTAGCCTGTGTGGAATCACGTTGTCAAGTCATTAAATATTCTGTTCTAACCAACAATTTCTAGTCTAAGTCAACAAAAAACAGCTCAAAACAGTGATCAATGGCAGGAAAAAACTCTCATTTTTCAAATTGACAATAATTTCACAGTAAATAATTAAGATTTTTACATCTCAACATAAAAATCCTCTGTCCACAAATGTCTCAAAATTCAACATTCCTGTATAGCAACACAAAAATGTAAAAAATGAGAAGAATTGATTCAAAAAATGTATTGTCATATGCTCGTCCAATTAAATATTATGATTGCATTTTATATAAGTTGCTAGCAGATCAGTTTGTAAAGAATTTTTTTCAGAAAATGGCAAAGTCTGAATGACGAAATGTGTAAGGGATATTTATAAGATACTGACACCATCATTCTTTACGTGCCACACTTTCGATACAGGAAAAAACCATAATTTTATTCATAATATTGCTGAATTTCCTTTTAAATAGTAAATGACTTACCTTAATATCGGTCAGTGAGAAAAATCGAGGCTTCTCATTCGAATGGAATTTTCTAAGGTCTTGAGGATATCATGTATAGTATATACCATATTCTGGATACATAAATGGTTATATCATTGCATATTGGATGTTCAGAAATAAGCTAGAAAAGAATGGAAATCATCAAAAATATACTAACATATAAATAGAACAGGAGATTAGCTTGATTGTTTACTATATATCATGAATATCTATAGGATAGAGTTATTTTATGATGTTCTTATATCCTGCCCTATTCTAAAACAGTGCAGAGAAAGCAAACAAGTCAGAATGAGCCGTAGGCGAATTCGAATCAATATAAAGAGAAAAAAGGAGAAGAAAATAAATAAAGCCTTGAATGAATCTGATTGAAAAGGAAACGAATTTTCGAAAAAGATATTGATTATCTTAAAAACAGAGCGCAATAGAATGAATAAAACTTCCTTGTGGAAATCTTTGTCCTAAATAATATTGAAATACTATAATTAACTAATAACCATTGATAGCAGATGAACTTAATACTAATACAAAAGCTTGGATAATGTTTGTGCTTTATTAACTATATTTATTAGAGAATGACGGAAATTTGCTTTTTTAAAATTTTTTATATGATTTATGTAGGAAAGGTTTTTACAGAATCAAAATCAAGAATAGACTCTTGTTCATGAACAATGAAAAACCAAACAGAAATGGATCTTTTATAGTTTCGCATAAGAACTCTAATTGTCTAGATCGAGTTAATGTCTTATTACCTTCCATAATTCATATTCATTGACTATTTCTATCTGATTCAATAATTGTTTTGACAAAGCTCGACGTCTTATTGAAAATAAAATATCTTTATTTATGTCTGAACTCCAATGACTTTATTTTAACTAACCTATTTTCTTCTGATGTTTGTTTTCGAGTTATTAAAGTTTCAATTGTCTTACATTGACTTGTTCCACAGATAGTAAAATAACATGGTGCAATTATTGGAGATTGCGCAAGTTGTTCAACAGCTATATTGTAGTTGCTTGTTGATTCTAATATTTCATGAACAAGAAAACCTATTGGCCAATCACTACAAAGATGAAGGTCTTTAATAAAAAGGATAGAGAATTTTAATAAAAACAAAATAAAATACAGAAACTGTCATTTTATCCTGTAAAATCTTTTACAAGTTCTTGTTCATTCGCTTAAATTTGTTTGGTGGAATGCATCTGTGATGATAGTTTGCATTAAGATGTAAATAAATTGAATTGAAATCTTTACTTATATGGAAACCCATCGGTATGAAAAAGAATTTTATCAGAAAATAAGATTTTCTAAAAACTTTTAATCTTATTTATAAAATGATACTTTTTAACTTTTTATTCGAATTTCGATTAACTTTTAATGGCAAATGTTTTTTTTTCATACAATATTATATTTCAACACAAACTTTATGTTTTATTTAAATATTAAAAAGTGTTTATTTATTTTTCTTGCCCGCTTTATTCAATATGTAGGCAGATGTCAATCCCAAAACATTTGGTTTTTGGGCTTCGTCTTGAATTAGTATATATTTTTTTCTACTGTTGTAAAGACGAAACATAGTGTTGTTTGGGCTGATCCGGAGGTTTTCTAGAATCCTCTCTCATGTGACCTGAACAATAGTATGCTTTGTCCTTAGAATGGCGGAGAACCACCCTAGTGAAACATCTTGTAAGAAAGATCTTGACCAGATACAAGGTACAGAAAAGTTAGTAGACTTTGGGTATAAGTGAATCTGATGCGATTAGGATGTAAGATCATGATATGTCTTTCCCAAGATCTTAAAATCATACTCAAGATCTTGACTTAATGATAGTTACTAAAGATAACTTTGCTACTGCTTAGAACTTGATAATGGCGAGTTGTTCAAGAAAACATAACTTACATTTAAGGGTGTTCATGAGGATGGCAATTTCGAACATTTTTTGAATTGACCATTGGTTTCTAACTTGCCTTCTTGTCTCTGTAGCAGAAATTTGACATCGGATTTATATTGAGCGTCGAATTTTACGCTAGATAGGCTATTTTTAAAGTATTTACAGGTATCCATGAATGAATCAGTGTGATTGTTTTGGACCATAATATTTCATCCAAGATCTTATAAATCTGTACCTAAGATCTAATTAAAGAGCTTGGTACAAGATAATCACATTATCTTGTAGCTAAATTTCCAAGATCTATTAACTTTTTTGTATCTTGTATCTTGGTCAAGATCTTGCTTACAAGATGTTTCACTAGGACAGTTTGCTGGAATCTGATTGGCTAATAGAAAAAGGCTTTCAGCCAACCAGATTTCAACAGGGGTTTTCTTCACTATTGTAAGAACGGAGCATACTATCGTTCGGGCCATATGGAAGAGGATCCCAGAAAACCTCCGAATCAGTTCGAACAACACCATGTCTCATCCTTACAACTGTGGAGAAAAAGTATGATAATTCAAGACGATGCCCAAAACCCAAGTGTTTTGGATTTGGTACATGTCAACAAATATACTAATTCGAGTTTATTGATCGAGGAATTCATGCTACATTATAAAATCAGTCTTATTCGATATTTTTCTCTACAGATTCAGCAATGTCAAAGGTCCAAAAAATGTCCACTTTATCTAAGGTCCTCTATGAATATGTGGGACTTTACATATCTTATGAAATGTCACGTATATCAGTAGTGATTGGAAAAGCAAAATATAAATACTCCACCAGCAGATATTTCTATATTCCAGCGGACTTTTCTATTCTCTTCAGGACTTTTCTTGTCGCATGATCTTTTTACCAAGATGAATATAAGAAACGATTAAATAAATTCAAATCAAAGGAATAATCTATTGTATATATATGACGGGCAAGAGGATGTTTCTGTGTTTCAACGGACTTTTCTATTCTCTTCAGAACATTTCTTTTCACATGATTTTGTTTATCGAGCTGAATATAAGAACATTTGAATAGATTTAAATCAGAGAAATAATCTATTGCACGTATATGATGGACAAGATGATGTTTCTTTCTTCCAGCGGACTTTTCTATTCTTTTCAGGATTTTTCTTTTCACATGACTTTATTTGTCGAGGTGAATATAAAAACATTTCGATTTACTATATTCACCTATTTCTTTTTCTTTCCTTCATTTTCACATTCAATATAAAGTTGAGTCAATCTATATGCTTATTCGATTTATTATATTTACCTACTTCTTTTTCTTGCCTTCATTTTCATATTATATATGAAGCTAAGTGAAACTTTTTTTTTGTTCATGCATTTTCGATAAGACATAAGTTTTTTTCTTTTGACTTCTATTTTATATAAAATTGAATATTTAGTTATCTATGGATATCTATTTTATGAAAATGATACAATAATTTTTTTTTCTTCTCATGAAATAAATAATTAATATTATTTTTTCAGAATATGTTTTACATCTATATCATTACTTTTTATTTCTTTGTTTCATTTTATTCTTGTTTTTATTTAAAATAAATGATTATGTGTCAAATCATTTGTTATCTATTTCTATAGATGTCATTCAATTATATTTTTATTTAATATTCTTTCATTTTCATAGATAGATAAAACAGTCGAATGAAGCGAATTGTGCTCGAAAAGTCCTTGTGTTAAAAGAAAAGTGACGCATGAAGTTAGTAAAGTTCACCTAAAGCCCGCTAAGTAAAAAAAAGTTCCGCTGAAAAATAGAAAAGTCCTCTTACAAACAATAATGACCTTTGACATTGTTGAATATGAAGTATAGTTCTTTATTTATTGTTCTTTTTTCTTCTCTTGTTGAGCTGAATCTAAAATATATATTTATTTGATATTGAATTCAATTGAATTTAGTTATCAAAAATTGTTTTGGTAAGTTCATTTTTATGCATGATCTGTTATATTGAATAGTTCTTTTGCAAAATATGAAAGAAAAAAACATCCCATTAATGTAGTGAAAGAGTATCAATCAGAGATAGATAAGTCAAGTTATAATTAAAATTATTTGATTTAATCTCATAAATTAAAATACTTTCGACACAATAAATAATGTTTATAGAATTTAGGAATTTATTAAATATTCTCTGAATTGATTTCTAATTCATTTATTCGAGCTTGATTTTCTTTGAATTCGGTCAATCTCTAACGCGATCCTTATTTGTCAAGAAAAATTAATATAAGAAAAATGACTAAGGAAGATAATTAGCAAGTGTAATGTCTCCCTGTTGTTCATATTATCCTCCTCGGGTGCATTTTGTTTCTCGGCAAGACTACTCAGCAAAGATCTCGGTTGTATATTTAATTTTGTATTAAAAGGACCAATAGTTCTCTAAACCTGTTTTAGTGTTATTTCTTAGTCATAGAACGAAATGCAACAAACAAATAGCGATATGAATAGTGAACATAGTGGTGTAAGTATTTTAGTGTTGAATATAAATTGATGATGATCATCTCTTAAAATATTAGTAGAATTGTCAAAAAGAAATATTTATTTTCGAAACTTATAAAAGATGCCGGATTTTCGTTTTAATTGTGAACAAATATGTATTGTTTACTATAAAATACTTTATTCTGCTCCTATTCATATGTAAATATTACATTTAAATATATTTTAAAAAACAAATAGCTAGGTTCATATGAACAACTTAAGAAAGTTACTTAATTCGAAATTATTCTTTTTCTGAAAGATTCGAAGTGAAATTAACGGAGAAGAAAGCAAAAATTAAATTACATCCATATATACAGTTTAAAACATTTACGTCAATGAAAAAAAACCCAAAACAAACTTCGACGATCGAAAATATTTTTAGCCATATCGAAAGATCTGATGTCTCTGCATATGAGTAATGCATTGTCTCAAATCTAATTATCATTTTTATTAATCCTTTTTAATCTTTATTGAAGGATTAGTCAATGTCAAATTTGGAACTGATTAAAATCAATATAGATTACATTCAGAAAGAATTATAATAAAATTTACAGATTCTTGCATTGAGAATAAAAAAAACAAACAAATCAGAAAATCTTGGTTTTATTCCTATTGAACGTATATTATCTACCTTTTGCATCTCTATGATTCACTATAGTCCTTTTTACGTTGCTATAGCTACTGTGCCATGTTTATATACATATGTAAATTAAAGTATGTAGGACGATAGAGCTCTATTCGAGAAGTTTCTACATTTTCTAGTAATATACACGGACGAACTCAACGTCAGATAGTTTTTTTAGGTAGACTTCCACTCAAATTCTTCTTATTTCTGTTGTATTTGCGGATATTTTTCATGGTAAAGCTTTCAGAAAAATTTATTTTTCTCGCATAGCAAAAGAAAACATTGAATCTAAAGGATTAACATAATGTAGGAGAAGCTTGAAGAAGATGACTTGAAATTTAATGTGTGAAATAAAAAATTCGTGACTTGTCTATCTCTGAGAAACATTGTTCAGTTTTCGATTTCTGTTGTTAGTCAAAGAAGTATTATAGTTGTAAGAAATGTCAACATCAATATCAGTTGTGTAAAGTCTTTTCGCTTTTTTTTCTCTTTTTTATAGCGCATAACACTAAATTCAATACAACCAAAGCCTTAACAACAAGAAGATAAACGTTCGAGTGGTTCATTCCATAGTGAAAATCATATAGATGATAAAAGTAGAATTCTAATTGGTGAAGAAGCAGCAACAAATACAATTTCACATCAACCGCAATCAAATTTAACTGAACGAGATATGAATACAACTTTTGGTTAGTTTAAAATTTTAATGTTTTTTTCTTTTAAAAACTAATAAATTTCTTAAATTTGTATAGAAAAAATTTTAGAAAAAAATTACTTAACATAATGTCCATATCAATCACATATAGCAACTGAATTAATTAATCGAACATATTCTATGTCAGTCGATCATCTTCTTGATTGCTATTTGGCAATAATGAATTTATTGATGCTTATCGTGCATCACGTCGTATCAAAGGTTGTCCGAATATTGTTTCTATACTTAATTTGTATTGACTATTCTCGTTTTCTTTTTCTCAACATTCTCGATTTCCATAATACTGAATGGCAAGTTAATAATGAGACAGGAAAACGTAAACGTATCAGCACTTATAAGGTCAGTGTTGCGGCTATTATTTCATCGACAACAATTTGCTCCAATGAAAGACAAGTAAAAATTAAAACAGAAAATAAACTTCTTTCATTTTAATACTTTTTATGAAACTATCTTATATATAGATTATTGACTGTGAATTATCAAAATCGCATTATGTGTTAGATACAGAGATACGAAATGAAGGAATAAATTATGCGAACTCATTCTTTGCTGCATCTCGTTATTATCTTGTACAAACTGGACCAAATAAAACTCATATAAAAGTTAATTGTGAAGTGAGATATGTTAAAAGTTTGATGGCTATTATTACAAGTAAGTTGTTTAAATCTTCTTTTTTTTCCTCTTCCTTGTTAAAATATTTCAATTAGAAGTTGTATTCACTGACTCTGATTACGCCGTCCATCACAAAGAGTCATATATTACCTGTAGCATTATGCTTTTTTCCTTTCTGCTTTATGAGACAAATAGAGAACATTAGTTGTTCTTTTTCTTGTTCTGTCATCCAAAGAATCGTGTGTTGATGGTCTCATATTTTGGGAGTGGTCGTATAAAAAGGAAAACAATAGTCAATCACACCACGATACCATTCATTCATTTCTCAAGCATATTTTCAAATGAAGAAGTTAAAAATGAAGTCGTCTATATCCTGTTCTATTAAATGTCATATTTTATGTACTCGTTCAACGTTCATCGAAAAAAATGTGATCGCTACTCTTCACGATTTATTTGTTGATTTAAGTTTTGTGTTCCGCAATTTTATCCTGCTGCTTATTGCTCGAATGTTTAGCTTTATGTTTTAAATTTATTTTTTTCCATTTTTATAAACGACAATCATATTGAATTATCAACTTTTCAGGTGTGTTTTATGATTGTGGCTTGTCTAAAGTCTCTTATTATGATTAGTATTAAATAGAAATAATATAAGTTTTTTGTTCAATTTAATGAAACGCATGGAACATGAATCTTCCAAACGATCACGAAGTTTTAGTATAAGTAGAACTACAGAAAAAGAAAATGTAACAGTATTAAATGCAAGAACATTACGCCAACCACAAACAGATGAAATAACTTCTTCCACAAATGATCTATCTGTGAATTCACAACAAGAAGAATCATTTCAAGACGAAATTAGTAAATTAATTTTTTTATAAACTAAATGATTAAATATAAAAACAAAATTTTATCTAGGTTCAGATGCTTCTGTATCAGACCACTTGTTTTTGTCTAAAAACTGCATTTCTACTATTATTCTCTCTATTCACGTAAATATTTACACTAAAAAAATAATGTGGGTGTGGGTGTGTGTCTTTAGTTGGACCACACCCA